TAGAAGATGTAGCATAGCTCAAAAAGTAAAGTTACTAGCAGGAAATATAAAATGAAACTTGAAGCTAAAGCAAGTCCATTGAAATGGGAAAACATAGAAGCAATGTTCAGTTGAACACTGAAGCAATTTGTAATAAGCTGTCACATATCCCCAGAAGTGAACATTGGATGGAAGGCATAGATCAAGGTAGATTAAAACAATTTGGTGGCAGAATGGGAAGACACCAAAATGGTCTGGGGAAAGGAGAGAAGTGAGCATAGGACTAGAACAGTGAGGTCAAAGTAACTGGGAAAGCCACAGGCATAAATCTTCTTGATTGCTGCCTCTACTGAGGGACAGCTCATTGATGAAGAAAAGTCAGGCTTAAGTGAGGCTGACAGGCAACAGGAAACAAATAGATGGTCAATAGTGCAGAGACTATGAAAGAGGAGGCTTTAAAAAATGAGTAGAGATAATTGAGAGCTGGAGAAAATGTGAAGAGAAGCAAAGAAGAGAAAAATTATGAGCAGCAACAACGAAAGGAGAATGTAGAGTAGGGGAGAATGCAAAGTGCATCAGAAGTACCTAAGAAAGGCAGAACCCATCACACAGCTTTACATAAGAGATGGCTTGTTTCCTTTATGCATTCAATTATTTCTTCTTGATGTGTAAATCAATGGTACTGCTGTTTATAGTAATGATTTTATAGCATGCAATGTTTTTTCTCTTCAAGTTGCTGGGATACTGTAACTTTGAAAAATTAATTCTTTTTTTTTTTTTAAACTGTGAAATTTGGGGTCTGTTTTTTGTAGGAAAAGGTCTGAAAATTGAGCTCTGACATAAAAAAAAAAAGGAAAAGCAAGTCAACATATACAAAATAAGTTGTTACTCAAAATATTTTCCAAGAGTAAGCTTTGATCATGGAATTGATTCAGGGTTTTTAACCAATTCAAGTTGTCAGCATTAAGTGCATCTGAAGTCACAGCATGACCTAAGGGTGCTGTGGGGCACCTTTCTCTTGCTGTGAAGAAGCAGTGAGTGTTAGCAAGTGCTCCCTACATAATTAGAGAAAGTACATTTAGGAACAGCTATTGGCATTACATTTTAACTTTTGTTTTTCATGCTTGGTTACAGTAGTAAGACATGATGAGTGTCCCCTTGGATATGATTTTTTCTTTCCAGTGACTATCAAGACAACTGAAACTGGCTCAGGACAGATATGTAAATTTTCTCCAACCCTGGTAAATGTCTGAGTCTCAAACTCAGAATAGGTTGGGTAAATATGACCCTTTATCAGAGACCAGTCCATTGTCCATTCAGATAAATTCCAGGGGAAAGGATGGAGAAAGTTTTAAAAACATACTGTCTTTGCAAAAGTGTCAACAGAAAAAATTATACAATCATTGAAACAATTTTTTTTAAAGGTTTGAAAGTGCATAAATGCCAAAATCCAATAAATATTAATTGGCTGTGAAACCTATCTGATTCTGTTAGCATTTTGAGTGTTATGTGGACAAAACTGTAAAATTTGGAAAGGAATCTGATGGATCAAAAGGAACTACCAGTACCACCGAAAGGTGAATATATTATTAGGGAAGTGATAAATTTTATCCTTGGTAAACAACCATTCAATAAGCTTGCAAAGGTAGTGTTTGTCAGCTGTTTGCCAGCTGCAGCTCTTCAGTACATTCACCTATTGTAACTGGGGCTTAGTCACATTGAAATCTGAATTATACAAGGATGCAAGGGTTCACATGGATCAGCTTGCAATACTGGGATGACAACCTGTATTCTTTATATGGTGCTGGAGAGGCAAGATATGAAACAAGATGGTTTACTCCTGGGAGACTTAGTGCACTTAATCTTTTGCCTCTTATTCCGGCTCAGTTCTTTCATGCTTTTGTCAAAAAACAAAACAAAGCAAAACAAAAAGCCTCATGGTTCTGGCTGCAGCATAAAAATATGCCACATGACAACTGACAGCCTATTCACAAAGTCTTTTTAACACAAGGAATGAATAGTGATGTGTCATATGTATATATGTGAGCAATGTGAATTGCTACCTACCCACTTGCAGTCATTTTATTGTGTTATTTCCACAAATATAAATAGTTTTTTATCAGCCACCTGGTTCTTTTCTGTGACATGCTCTCTTTGTCTCATCAGAAGCTTGTTATATGTGGGAGAAGAAACACTGAATATATTCCACAGCCCCATTCTTTTATCAATAATTTCCTGTTATCATTACACAATAATTTGAATTTTGTGAATATGGCACAAAGGATCAATCCAATTAAACCAAAACTACAAAGAAAGAATCTCATTGCAAGTCTCTGTGCAACTAGTGAACCCAGTAATTATATATAGCCACCTATTGTGCTAGTATAATAATATGTGAAGAAGGTTTAGTTAGATACATTTACACACATAAAAAGCAATATCGGCATAGAAAATGTAATTTTTGCCAAAAGTATAGAACAGTCACACAGTAACAAATGAGAGCTGCATGAATCCTAGTTTACTTGGCTATAAATAAATTCAACATTTTCTTTCTCTCCATGGTAAAATAAAATAGGAGCACAGAAGCATAACAGTCTCCTTTGAGCAACCAGTCTCTTTCTGTTCAATTATAGTCATCAATCTGTTCCACCTAAAATATTTTCCTCTTTGAGAAACCAAAGAAATCAGTATTAGGATCCAAAACATGCTGTTGCAAAAACAATGTAAAAGAGGTCTTTCCTTTTGGTGAATGCATTTGTTCTGAAAGACTGTATTTTCTTTAACACCAATTTTGTAATTTGTGAGGGAAAAAAAAAGCTTCACTTATATGGCACTTTTAATCAGAAAATCTTGAAGAGCTTGGTAAGGAAAGGTACGGGTTACCTTCATTTTACAGACAGAGGAAACTGCAATAAAGACAGCCTAAAGCCTTTTTCTTTTTTTTTTAACAAAATCTGTTTCCTAGGTATATTCCTTTTAGATACCCAACTGGAAGCCTTTAAATCCTGATATTCAAAAGTGCTAAACAGACAAAGCTTCAGTTGTATGAGTACCCTTTCTCTCAACAGTAACAGTGTCAGATTCTGTAGCAGTGGGAAATGCTTGCCTCTGCATGATCCCACAGCAAACTGGGGAGCAGGGAAGGAAGAGAGTCAGGTCTCCTTCCTGCTGCATGCTCTTACAAAATCTAGGAGGGTGAAGGTTTTCCTGTTACTTGAAATCACTAGATCAAGCTTATATTTTGTCTCTAATATATATGCCAGCTATAGTTTTACTAACATCTCTGGGCTTGATGTGAGGATCATTTCATGAAATCATACAGCTTGTGTCACTTATGAGATAACACAGGATAACCATATTATGTGTTCTGGCCTGAAAAATTCTATAAATCTATGACTACGAGAATACAAGAGTATTAACTATAATGATTTATCTTAGAAATAACACAACAAATTTCTAATTAAGGCTTCTTCATCTTCCTGAGATGTGATACTAGCCTCCAAATTGCACTCTCTTTACCCTATGTGTTGCTGAACCATCAAAGCACATAAAGTAAAGTAAATTTGATTTAGCTAAATAGGAAAAAGTTCAAATCCTCTTCTTCACTTGGTAGTTCTACACCGACATCTACAGAGAGCAGAACATTGTCCACCTGTGCACGTTTGAAGAATTATAGGGAATTATTTTAAAGATGAAAAATCAAGGTGCCAAAATAATACAATCTGTGCTGCAAAAATTGTTTCAGGGTAAATTCTCTGTGCTCAAAATCTCATCATAAACTCCAAGAACTGAATGAGCAGAGAGACCAATCCTTTCAGTCACAGGGTTGGTTCCAAAATAATATAAAATGTGCATTTGGTATCCAGGAAAGCACTATGGGGAAATTAAATATCCCATAAATATTCCAGCCTAACTTTAACAGCTATATAAAACATCCTAGGTTTGGTGGGAGGGAAGATTTTGAAGTGCAAAATAACTACAGTTTTCCCCATTTGTTCATTGCTCCTGAACAGTGATTTTTGTGCTCAGTTCAAAGCATTATTGTAGAGGATCATTTCTACTGCACTAAAAAAGAGTAGCTTGATCACAGCCATTAAAAGTTCCCCCAAGATGAATGTATGAAGTATCCTTTAAAACACTGGTTAGGTGTTCTTACAGCAAGCATTAGTTATTCACTTCCTATTTTCTTTAAGGCATTTCGTCAGAAGCCAGATCTTGCAATTAATGTTTGGTTTAAGATCTTTTGTTCAAGGTATAAAAGGTTAGTTTTACTATCCTCTCTTAAAGCCCCCAGTGCACTGCTGCAGATTCAGAGGCCTATAATTTTTATCAACAAGCAATTCGTCATTTCAGAAACCTAAATCAGAAAATTCTATTTTATTTTTTTTTCATTCAGCATGCAGACAGCTAAAGCCCTTTTTTTTCCCCCTAGGGTGATGTGTTAGTTTGATTTTATTTTCCCTGACATTTCACCTGTCAGATTATGATAAGTAGAAGAAGCAAAGAATAATCATCACATTCTCACCGAATCTCATAATCAAATATCTGGAAATATAAGATAAATTAGAAACAATATCCTCAGGGAAAACATGAAAACTGAAAACACCATCAGATATCCAGATCATCTTCCAGTGACCTAGGATTGCCATACAGGTTTAAAAAATTCAGAAAGAAAGCCTGCACAGGACTGCCACATTTACTTCTATTATCTTCAAATACTAGGGAGAGACCAACAATGGTGTAAGAGGAAAAAAAGTTGCAGTGTTAAGAAAATCTATTTAATAATAAAGCTGAACGTCTTCAAGTCTTTCACGAATACTTTCTGAAAGCAATCTTGAGGCCAGGAAACAGGACAGGTTATCATGAAATAGTATAAACTCAAATTAACAAGTTGGCAAGGTGAAAAGATTAATGAGCCGGAGCACACCCAACATGCTCCTGATTTACTGCATCTGTAGTTTGCATGTTCCCAATTTCTCTCAGTCTCACAGTGTTGAGATTCGTAAGTGATGAAATCTTACCTGCTTGACCGGTGGTAATACTGACAGCTGCAAAAAGCCTCTGAGAACGACTCAAGTCAGAAACCCCATTCACAGCTTCAACTTCAAACGTGTAGTTAGCATGAGCTAGCAGGTCCATGACAGTGACATAGTTATCTACTAATCCAGTTTGCTGGGGCATATATCCAATGTTACTCCCACAGGGAACACATTCGCCCTGCTCCCAGCTGCACCGCTTGCACAGAATGCGGTAGGTCACATCGTTTCTTCCCCCATTGTCAGCAGGAGGACTCCACTCCAAACTCACAGTAGTCTGGTTGATATTGAAAATGAGGTTCTGTGGTGCAGATGGAGGTCCTATGTAAGACACAAAAAAGTCCAGGGTAATTGCACAGAACCAATGTGGGTTGTGTAGCTAGCATTTTAATTACCGAGACAGAAAATAAGTGAAGCATTTTTCTTCACATAAACATTTCATTAGTTTTACTACAAGCTGCATAAAAGCTTCCTTGAACTCACTTGGCAAGAGCTTTATTTATTTTCCATTAAGGCATCAGAATAACAATTGTCTGTATATTTACTGCAACTGACTTTAGCAGTTTTTCTTCTGTGCAATTAAAAGGATTGGTTAATGTACCTTAAAGGTTGTCTTTTATAGTCTTCCCAAGTATGGGATTTGTTCACCTCTTCTAAACATACTGTACCATCTGCACCTAGTCCTTTGTTATCAGCTCTGATACGATTTACAGAGGTATTTGGTGCTGCTTTGGATTTCACAGAATCATAGAATGTTAGGGATTGGATGGGACCTCGAAAGATCATCTAGTCCAACCCCCCTGTCAGATCAGGATCACCTACAGTAGGTCACACAGGAACGTGTCCAGGCAGGTTCTGAAAGTCTCCAGAGAAGGAGACTCCACAACCTCCCTGGGCAGCCTGTTCCAGTGTCCTGTCACTCTCACAGTGAAAAAGTTTTTCCTTATGTTTACACGGAACCTCCTATGCTCCAGCTTGCTCCCATTGCCCCTTGTCCTACCATTGGGCATCACTGAGAAGAGCCTGGCTCCATCCTCATGACATTCGCCCTTTACATATTTATAAACATTAATGAGGTCACCCCTCAGTCTCCTCTTCTCCAAGCTAAAGAGACCCAGCTCCCTCAGCCTTTCCTCATAAGGGAGATGCTCCACTCCCTTAATCATCTTCGTGGCTCTGCGCTGGACTCTCTCAAGCAGTTCCCTGTCCTTCTTGAACTATGAGGCCCAGAACTGGACACAGATTCCAGATGCGGCCTCACCAGGCAGAGTAGAGGGGGAGGAGAACCTCTCTTGACCCACTAACCATACCCCTTCTAATACACCCCAGGATGCCATTGGCCTTCTTGGCCACAAGGGCACAATGCTGGCTCATGGTCATCCTGCTGCCCACCAGGACCCTCAGGTCCATTTCCCCTACGCTGCTCTCCAACAGGTCTGTCCCCAACCTATACTGGTACATGGGGTTGTTCTTTCCCAGATGCAAGACTCTACACTTACCCTTGTTGTATTTCATTAAATTTCTCCCCACCCAACTCTCCAGCCTGTCTGAGTCTCACTGAATGGCAGCACAGCCTTCTGGTGTGTCAGCCACTCCTCCTGGCTTTGTACCATCAGCAAACTTGCTGACAGTGCACTCTGTTCCCTCATCCAGGTCTTTTATGAATATATTGAACAGTACTGGTCCCACTACCAACCCCTGAAGGACTCCACTAGACACAGGCCTCCAACTAGACTCTGCCCCACTGACCACAACTCTCTGGCTTCTTCCCATCAGCCAGTTCACAGTCCATCTCACTACCCAACCATCCAGACCACATTCCCTCAGTTTAGCTGCGAGGATGCTGTGGGAGATGGTGTCAAATGCCTTGCTGAGATCAAGATAAACCACATCCACTGCTCTACTGTCATCAACCCACCTGGTTATGTCCTCATTAAAGGCTAACAGGTTGGTTAAGCATGACTTCCCCTTGGTAAAACCATGTTGACTGCTCCTCTCATCCTTGATATGCCTAGAGATAGCACTGAGGATAAGTCGTTCCATCACCTTTCCAGGGATGGAGGTGAGGCTGACCGGTCTGTAGTTACCCGGGTCCTCCTTCTTGCCCTTTTTGAAGACTGGAGTGACATTTGCTTTCCTCCAATCCTCAGGCACCTCTCCTGTTCCCCATGACTAATCAAAGATGATGGAGAGTGGCCTAGCAATGACTTTTGCCAGCTCCCTCAGCACCCGTAGGTATGCACTCCATCAGGACCCATGATTTAGGATTTAGGACACTTCCACTATCTGAACCACCAATCTGAGTAGGCTAGTCTCTTTGCAGTTAGAAGGTTAAGCCAGATCCAACTACAGTTCAATCAAAGCTCAGATCTGCACAGGTTACTTTTCATTTTTCATCTTACTTATTTTGGTAGAGACAATGATGGTATTAGATCATTGTCTACAACAATTTTATAGCCATGGGAAAAGTATGTCTGTATTCTATATATTACAATGAGTTACACACTTACCCAACATGCAGTGTCTTCCAATGTTATATCAAGCAAACATGCAAATTATATTTGTGCTGATTCTGTATTTTTTTCCCCCCCCCCCCCCCCGCCTCTGGCTTTCAATTTCATTTACTGTTGTAAATGTACTTTTCAAATATAGGAAAAGCCAGCCAAAACTACTAGCTACAAGTGGCTGCACCTGGTTGGTTAAGAACGTCCTTTACTATTAAATTCATGACTGACTCACTTGTGCATGCGACATATGGTGGATCAGAAGGTGCTCTATAATAGCTATCTTCACAATCGCATCTTGAAGATCCTTCCTTGTCAGAGAAGCTGTGAGTAGGGCAGCGGGAGCACTGCAGATCTTGTGAAGAGGATTTGTAGAACCCACGGCCACAAGCTAAGGCAAAACAAAATAAATTAAAGTTTAGATTTGCATGGACTATTCTGATCTTTTTTCTTTCTCTGTCTCATGAGGTACACATTCCTGTAAACTTCTAAACTATCCATTCTGTTACTTTGGCACAAGCCAAAAGAAATCACAATTTCTTTTTCTTCAGTTGATGTTGCTAATGATTTTGTGACATTTTTATGAGTTTAAGCATACACTACAAATACCTCAGCAGTTGTCAGCACAATATTTTAACACAGAAGGCCTCATAAATATAACAAGCATCTGTTTTTCACCAAAGAAGAGAACAATAATGGTGTGAAACAGCTGGATGCCTGCAAAAGGTTGAAACAAGGGAAAAACAGTCTGGATAAGCTCTCCTCTAAGGCCTCTGAAGGGTTTCTGGTATCTCGACTAGCTGATTGGGAATTAATGGCACAAAGGTTACTCCTCCCTGATTTGAGAATCCCAGAGAAGCTGTAACCCAGTAAACCCCAATCCTGAAGAAAGAATGATGCGTGAACACTTGCTGGACAGATGATGCTGGTAGGAACAAGCAGAAAGAGGAGGACGGCAAATAGCTGCACAATTGGTTTTTCCAGTTTCATAGAGAGAGACAACTAGGCTGAAATGAATTTACTAAAACCTTCAAGGGAAAGTTAAAGGTAGATAGCTGGAAATATGCATATAAAATAATTTCTTACTTTGCTTTGCCAACTGTGAACTCATGGAAGTAAAAAATACGTTGCGTTCCAAAACTGACATTTAGAAAAACTTTTATCAGTTACTGTCACAGCTCCCAAAGCAGAAACACCAATAAAACACACCTATAACGATTCTTACAAGTAGAGAACTGCAACCTAGACAGTGAGCTTAAGAGTGGATAAACTATGAGAGCTGTAGGGGATGAGGAAGAAGAAAGTGGGGATCAGACAATTCTAAAACTGGAAACAGATTAAGACTCCATTTCAGCACTGAGGTTATGGGCAAACTCACAAACTCTGTCAACATGAAAAAACAGAACACAAAAGTACTCCAGAACATTCTGATAAAGTAGAGGCTTTTGAAACCACACTATTTTATTCTCTTTTTCCAGTCCTAACAGTCTAAATTTCTTAAGCTGTTACCTGTATGCAAAGAAAAGGGACAGCAGATGAAACTTAGTATTGGGTATCAAAATATTAAAGCTAGTTAAATAGTCATTCTGAATTCAGAGAGAGAAAATTTACTTTGGTTATATTCATATTAGCTTTGATATTTTCTCAGAACAGAAATGCAAAGTATCCAAAGACACTGATATTTGGAACAGTTATTTCTGTTGTTTGGTACTGCAGTGATGGAAAGAGCAGGAAAACAATGAGCTTTATCTAAATCTCAATGAAGTCAACGAGGAGTGTCTTTGACTTAAATATGCTTTGGACTGGGCCCACAGTGTAGCCACAGTGACATGACTCTTATTAATCTGATGAATTCTATGCAACTGAGAGAAAAAAAAAAAAAAGGTGGTAATACTTAAGATAACAGTAGATTAACGTTGATTAATTAGGCAAATCAACAGTGAATCATACTAGTATAAAATGATAGGAAATTCTGGCTCTCTTATTTTCTATCAATATACTAACTTTCTAAAGAAAAATATGCCTAAAGGACAGTAATTGCCATAATATTTAGAGTCTGTCATACTGAAAAAAAAAAAAAACAACCAAAAAACAACAACAAAAAAAACCCAAACAGTGGATGGAAGCTAAATTAGCTGGCAGATAAAATTAGCATGCAAAGCATGTATTCTTTGACAGAGGGGCACGAGTTTACATTGGAAGAAAATCTAGCCCTGCTTGTAAAACATGCTATAGCTTGATTCTACCACAGTAGCTGTTACATATGCTATTCAGAAAGGAAGATAGAAATAATTTTGGAGAAACACTTTGGATAAACATGACCCATGAATTCATAGTTGTGGCAAATTTAACTCAGAGTTATCCTTTTATACCTGCATTCAAGATTGTTTCAGAATTTCCTGACCAAAACAAAGAGCACAAAACCTGAACTGATTTGTATGCATGTACCTTAAGACATATATTTAAACTTCTCTCTGCTCTTTCGGTACTTGCAGTAGCTAAAATTTCCAAATAATAGTTTCCTTGCCTTTCTTAAATAGTCATGTTCCTCTCATACTGAGCAAAACACTGGACAAATACACCAGGTCTTCCAGCACACAGCTCTCTGCAAAGCAAAGAGCAACTTAAAAGGCAAAGATTCCTACTGTGTTTCCAGTCTGTCCCTCTCAGCAGGGAACATTACAAAGCAAAGCCGTAGAGGGTAAAATAGAGATTTCAGAAATAACAAAATGTAAACAGAAAACCCCTTTCATTTTTTTTTTCTGATGACTTGATGAAGACATTTATATGCTTAGTCACTTACTATTTAAAGTAAGTGTGCATTTCTTATTAGAGTTCAAAGGATCTGAATGTCTGTGACTAGTTTACATGACTGAAAGCCATTTATTCTCCCACACAGCATACCACAGGCGGCAGGTTCAGGCACTCATACCATGCTACCGTTCCATTAGCTTTTTTTCCAACAAGAGGCTTGTGACAACATTCAATAACTATCCCTTCAACTTATACACCCCATAAATATAAGAGGCAGAACATTCCAGCAGTGAATTTTTTAACAGTACGAAAAGACTTCTTTTAAAAAGGATTTTTAAAAACTTCCCAGTTCTTTAGATGGGAGGGTATGCAGAGAAACCATAATAATTAAAACCACTCACTGGAGTAATACAACTAAATTATTTTCCTATTTTTTAAAAAATAAATACAATTTTTCCAAAAAAAATGTGTTTCTTCAGCCAAGCAGTAGAATACTTCTATTTCTCAAAAATCAAGGAGCTATGAATCTTTATCTGTTTTTAACATTTATTATTGTCCTTGACAATAAACTTGCAACTAAAAACTCTACCAAGACAGGCTGCTGCATGCACCATTTACTAAGGTGTGATAACTTGCCAGTGATCTATTACAGATCACAGATGGAAAAGAACCATTTAAAAATACTTTTTTAACTCTTTTTTTTTTCTGTTTTGTCTTATCTTGCCAAATTGCCGAGGTGAATTTCTTTTTTATATTAGAAGTAATTTAAATATATTGTTTTGTTCTAATCTATTTTAAATCCACCTGCTTTGATAGAATTTAGTTCTTTATGCAATATTTTTAAGATCAAAGGGACACTTGGTATAAAATCCCCCCCCCCCACTACCTCCATGAGCAACAGTAAAAAAATGCTAATTGTATAAAAATTGAAAAAAAAAAAAAAAAAGCCAAACATTACTTGGACCTCAATATATGCAAATCTAAAAGTAGAAAATACAGGTACTGTTCCACAGAAGTATCTCATGGCAAAGCTTGAGGCAACTCAAATGGCATTTGATCACATCCATTGTAATATTTCAATTCATTAGTGCAGGAGAGCACTCATCAGCAGCACTTCTTCCTATAAAGGGAGCCTATATTGTAAATCAAGGTACAGAACTCAAGCAACAATAGGAGTTATACAGGAAGGTATAACTGGCGAGGTAGAACTCTCATGTTGTGGCCATAATCCTCGTTACTATTGATCTCGGTGAAATGTGAACTCATTTGATCTTGCTGAAGCAAGTTAAGATCCAGGAGCAGTTTTTCCACTGAAGGGCTTCTGGGGTACTGGAAAAGACAGGGAGTGGGGGGAAAGGGAAGAAAGCCAGCACAAAATAAATTTACTTCCATTCACGGTGGTGTGTCATTTACAGCTGCTAATTTAATAGAACAGCTCTTCCCAGATGAAGCTCCTATTTTGTTCAAAGAGCTGCTCCGAAGTCTTATACGTTCCAGGAAAGGGTTTCAAACCAAGAGCAGTCAACTTTACTGACACCACAAGGACACAGAATAACACCTACCAGCAAAACCTAAACCAGTCTTCAAATAATGCAAAAGTTAGTTGCTAAATCAACAATAAACACAGAATAAAAACTATGCTTCAATCAAGGCACAATTCTTAGCCTCACAACCGTTAGGGAATGACCATCAGTGACCCCCCCAGGGGTACCCAGCACCTTGGATTTGTTTACTTGTCTGTGACAGCCATGGCTGCTTCTCAGAGAAAATCTTCCCACCTCCTCTGTGAAGCAAAGAGGTTTCTCTTGTTGGGAAGCTGGCAGAGTTCCACCCTGAAATACAACGACGACGCGAACAGCCCTTGGATGAGAGAGTCCCCTTACACCGTGGAGCTGCGGTTTGAAACTGAGCAGGGCATTGTTGTCTCATATTTAAACTTCCTTGTCTGGAAGCCCTAGATAAAGAGGTAGACTATTCCGTCTGTATACGATGAAAGACTCTGGTGAAGATGACATTAGCAGTTCTTCTGGGCTTGGACTAAGTTGCTTTCTTCTTGTACACCCAGTAGCATTCAGCTGTAACAAAGGGCGTATCGTGACAGTAGGGTCTGGTACACGGCTGGGCGAGGCTGCAGTGTCTCACTCAAATACATGTGTAGCATATGCCACTGCAGTCAGTGCAATCGCAAACATTCTAAGCCAATGTGTTTAGTATCGTTTAAGGGCCTAAACAAATACTATAAGTAATGAAATATTGTAAACCCACGGGTTTACAAATACTGAGGCATTAGCACACACTACCAAGAACTATGATGCCACATCTGCTGTCACAACAAGGCATTAACTGTCGTAACTAGAGGTGCTGACTGCAGCTTATGTAGAAAAATACCAGCTTCTCTGCTGTGAGCTCATCACATGCCTTAGTGGCCTGGTAGAGATCAAATAATGTGTATATATATATAATTTTTTTTTTTTCGTATCCATTAAAAAAGAATTCCAAGAAACTCTGTAAGTGTGGATGAAGGCAGATGTAGAGAGCAGCAAGCACCAGTCTGGACACTTGTGGTACCAGAAAAAGCAAAAAAGGGACATATTAAGTACTGTTCATTTTCATATAAACTTTCCACTATAAACACTATGGAGATTCATTTTGCTTCTAGGAAAGCTAGGGAACTGGGAGGGATGACAGAAATATGGTAAGGGCTATGAGTGACGTGTAACAACCGATGTTTATATAACCAAAGCAGAAAGAGTAAACAGTTGTAGGGCAGTGACACATTAATCAAGAAAATTATTTGCTACTACAAAAATACAAATAAATTTAAAAAAAAAATCTCCATTTGTAGACGTGTAAGGGTTCCAGGTGGCATATCAGCTTAAGACTGAAAGGGCACACAATTGTTTCAGCATATTAGACACTTGATTGAACATGGCATTTGATAATAATTTTTCAGTTTATATAAAATAATGAAACATAATGAGTTGCAAGGAGGTGGCTGCACTAATTACTGTTTGATCCCATTATAAAAAGTAGACTGGTGTGAGGGAAGAAAAATAAAGATCATACACTGTGCTAGCAGAGCAAGAGACCTTGTCTGTTTATTCTGGTACGCTCACCATTCCCCGTTTGCCGACATGAGTAAGTTTTAGTGGCATACATGCTATAGTTCCATAAACCACAATTTCACCATTGTTTTAAACTAACATTTAAAAAAACTAGTACTTTTTCACAGTCAGTGTCAAAGGATGGCAAAGAAGTAATCACAGAGATTCAACAACAGTGTATTACTTATGAACCTGGGGTAACAGCCTGGTCCCACTGAGAACCACAGCAAAATGACTGCCTACCTTGGGAGAGCTCAGGTTTTCCCCTGGGTTCCTCCCTCCTCTTCAC